TTCATTATTCGAACCCAGGTCACTCACGTACTAGCTCAGCCGCATTGTCCAACTGGACAATCAGACCTCAGGTGTTAAGAACGTTTTTTTAGACTTCAAATAGAATACTGAAAAAGCGCAATATTTTCTGTTAGTTTTTTCCTTTTCTTTTTTGTTTCCTTTTTCTTTCTTAAATGCGTGAACTTTTTAACTTTCATGATTTATTTTTTCAAAAAGATGACAAAATTTAAATTTGAATTTTTCTTCAAAATTGGTGAACTCCTCTTTTTCAAAATTCTTCCTGTTTTCACAAATTTGTGAATTATTTCAAAAATAGGTGATTTTTTTGAAAATTAAATTTATATAAATGATGTACTTTGTTTCTAAGTCAATGAACTTTTTTCAAATCTGTGAACTTTTTTTCCAATCAATGAGCTTTTCTTCTAAATCGATGAACTCTTTTAAATTTTTTTATGAACTTTTTTCAAAATCAATAGAAGAAACAGAAACAAGAAAACAAAAGCAAAAACAAAATTATAGAAAACCCCGCGTAAAAACGAAAGAAAAAACCAGCCCGATTGAAAAGGAAAACCAGAGTCTTTCTTTTTAGCGTTATGTCTGACGCACTACAAAAGATGGAAAAAGAAAAACTTAGACCATGATCAATTTGAAAAATCTAGAAAATGCAGAAATTGTTGAAAACCAAATCAATTTGGCATGGTGTCTGGAATTGGTCAACAAAGGCCATGGAAAAAATTAAAGTGCGTACAATTTGTAAAAGGTCCATACTACCCTTTATACGTTTTGTAGGGGGGGGGTGTACCGAAGCGCTTCTCTTTTTTTGTAACCACTTGTATATGATTTCCATCCATAGAAACTACGCGACCAATCAACAATTTGCACGATGTTTCTAATACTTTCAACTTTTGTTTGAATTTTTTTTTTAAAAAGGGAGGCACCGGGCATCGTGGCAAGCGTCCAAAGTCCACGTGACCGCGCGTGCTTTTTGCGTGTGACAGAAGACTATCTACCTAAGTGTGGCTGAAAGAGCATCTCTAGCAGATCCCAAAAAAAAGTGGTCAAAGCAGTAAATTTACAGTTTTGGTCGAAGAAGACGCACCAAATAGATCCCGTACAACATTGCTCACCTCTTGTTAAGTCTCCTTGGTGCTTTTGCTAGAAAATGCAACTTCATCTGGATCTGGCACGTCTTCAGAATTCACTAGTTTGCTGGTACTGAAATTCTGTGGTGATTCGTTCTCAAGCAGTAGCTTCCTAGCCATGTTCCGGAAGGATTTGGTCAACGGGTCACCGTGCTTCCTGTTCCTGGCAGAAAGCTTCCTCGGCCATCAGCATTGTTTTGTGTGATGCCACACGCATGGGTACAGGCTGCACCTGGAGAGAGCCATGCCCCAAACGAACTGGTCCTCGCAGTGAGGTCACTGCTTCTCTTGTTCACCGGCACAGCAGAGCATGGCAGTCTGGTGTTTGATGTTTTTGGCGAATCAGCTGAAGGCAACATGCGCGCTTCTGATGCTTCATCTTCTGACGAATCCTGGTTGCGAAATCCGTGCACTTGATGCCTTATTCTTCGGATGATGTGTCGATATTTAAGTTGTCGGAGCGCAGCCGAGAGGAATCCTTATTATCAGAGAATGTGTCTGTTCTGAATCTGCAGGAGATTCTGAATGAACACTGAACGCTAAAACACTGAAAGGGAAAAACGAGAAATGGAGAAGATAGAAACAGTTACCTGGAGCATTTGTGAGCTCCTGTCCTGGGAGGAGCAGGCTTGGAAATGTTGCCTGCACAGTGAATTTCTGGTGTACCATGGGGGACAGCGCCAGGCCTAAAAATTGCGCTTTGTAGGCGGTGCTCGCCGTGTGGATCCCATTGTTCGCATGCTTTCAAATGATGCTGTTTTCGGCTTGCTCATCAAGGTGGAAGTCATGCACAAGCACCCAAAGGTTAATGAATTCCGAAATGTGGTTGACGGAGATGGCGGTGTCATGCTTGATCTTGAGGATCCAAGTGTTCCCCTTTAGAGTCTCACACACCTTCCAATTCTTTCTCTTCGATGCCTCATAGATTAGTGGTGCAATGTCCTTGGGCTTGGGCCCAGGAGCCATGGGGAGTCCCAGAAAGGTGTTTTGGCACCGTCGCCGACAGTGATAGTCGTAGATGCATAGAAGAACTGGAGGTCCTCTTCACTGCAGGGGTTGCCAGAGCCAACCCATAATCTGCGGGGCTCCTTCCATTCGTACCATAGCCAACGAAGCCGCAACGCCCGTGCAAACTTGTGTGGAAGGCTTGGGCACCTCCAAAGGTTAAATTCTTTGCTTGGTTGGCTTTGCAAGATAGGATTTGGACTGCCGATCGTTTGGAGAAGCGTGATTGGCCAAACTGTGGCCCTTGCCGCTTTGACAAAGAGAACAAGAAACGGGGATACACCTCTTTGTCAAGTGTCGCTACACTCTTAGGCTCTGGAGATCAATCATCGAGAACTTGGGCTCACGCACATGGACACCTCCGATTGGCAGTTAGAAGCAACCGTCACTAAGTGGGGGCAAAAAAAAAGAAAAATAGACGACCGCAACCCTCACCGCCACGCAATGGCTTCCCTCACCATGCTCATTTCTTGGACCATTTGGAATGAGAGAAACGCCCGCGTATTCCGTCGAAAAAGCGCACCACCGCCGGTCCTCTTAACCAACATTTTAGAAGATGCTAAACTTTGGGTTACTGCTGGCGCAAGAAAGCTAGGGAACATCATATTGTACGAGTAATTGTATCCCGCTTATTTGTGAGTGCGTTGTAAAACTCTAAACTCTACTCTTCCTTATTTAATTGAACAGGCAAATCTATTGCCTCCGTTTCAAAAAAAAAAAAACTGGTGTACTCCCTCAAGCTTAGTACTAACTTTAAAGCTTTAGACACACTTATTTTGGGACGGAGGGAGTACTAGTTCGTTGCAAGGTATGGCATGTTTGTTGCAAGATATGTGTTTTTTTTACTAATTATATATAGATTAAAAAAATTGGAGGATCATTCTTGAGCTGTGCTGAATCGCAAATCATGACGACGCTGTACTTGTCAAGTATGGATAGCTGCGGTGGACTGCGACGCGACACAGAACTTCTCACCGAGTATGTACAAGCGTGTGTGTGTATATATGCACCTGCATGTCTGACGACAAAACTGAATTTTCATATAGTACGTACCATTGTTCGAAGCAACGGCGACGTCCTGCTGCACAAGAAGCAGGGCAGTTCGTTCTCACGACGGTGGAGACCTTCCTCGACGAACGGCAGCCCGTGCGGACGCGGCCGTGGCCTGGTCGTGCAGGACATGGAACACCTCCGCGGCGAGGCTGAAGAAGATGAGAGAGCTAGTTGAGTTTCAGACAGTAGCACACACGTACAGAACGTACGGAGGGAGAGACAGGAGAACGTACTCTGCGAGGTCCGCGAGCTGGCGGATGATCCCGAGGAAGCCGGCCATGGCGGCGCACTCGAGGACAGCGGCCTCGTGCAGCTCCGTGCGGCTGAACTCGTTGCCGCCGGTGCCCGGTGGTGACCTTGTGCCTTGACAGTGGCATCAGAAGCTGCGCAGCACTCTGCTCCATGAATTGCGCGCAGGTGCTTGACGATTGATGCTGTGCTCAAATGGCTGGCTCATGACGCGCAATGGCGCGTGTACGCTTGACACGTAGTAGCCATTGACTCAACCTGACAAGATCGAGAGGATCTTGCCGTCTGCAAGTGGACCCACATCGGCGGGTCTGTACGAAAGAGACGGGCACCTACGAGCCGGTGATCGCGCACGGCATAGGAGCAAATTGTACTACCGCACTGCACATGCCCGTGTGGTGCGAGGGTGCTCATGTAGGGCGTTGCGGTTTTGTACCGCACGTTGCGTAGCTCGCCCATGAAACCGTACACTCACCGTAGGTGCATTCTTTACGCCGAAACAGCCAGTGCGTACCATGAATCTTACTCCGTGTGTTTACAAATATTAGCTTTTTTTAGAGATTTTACTACGGACTACGTACGAAGCAAAGTGTGTGAATTTACA